AAATGATTTAAACGTATATTTTAAGATATTGTTGTTTTTTGATGTATATAAATTAAAAGTGGCTGTTTCCTACGTGCGCAGGGAAACGCCTGAGTTAACATTTATGGAAGTTTATGATGTGCGATGGGTGACAAACTTTGAAGAGAAACTGGCTGAAATGACTGCCGATAAGAAAGGTGAGTGTGTTTATTTATTTACTTTTTTGCAAACTTTTTTTTTTTTCATTGCTAAATGAAAAATTTTAATAAATCTCTAATGAAGATTTAAAACTTTCGGTAATAATTACTATGGATCTTCCTTAGTAATAATTACTATTTTTCTGTATTGTTACGAGTTAACAAATCATTGACTAATACTCTATGATTTTATTACAAAAAAAGATGTGTCAAAAGAAGTGGATAAAAAGGAAAAGTCAAAAAAAGAAGATAGAATAATGGAAAAAGCATTCCCTAAGAAAATAGAACCCGATACTTCTAAATCGTAAGTAAAAATTTTACTATCGTTAATAACATAAATTAACACACAACCTTACAGTTTACACAAAAAAAAAAAAAACTAACAGATGATTCTTCTTAAATTAATAAAAAAAATTCTAAAGCTCATTTCGAAAATTGGTATTTTTTTAGATCTATGAAAATCCGTATAGTAACAAAAGAAAAGCTGATGAAGAAGCCGTCCAAAGACAACGTTCGACCCTCTGACGACACAAAGTCCCTTTCATCCTTATCAAGTATTTCCAGTAGTCCATCTCCATCGCGGTCGCGTTCACGCTCGCCGGGGAATCCGCGTTTCAACCCATCAAATCACTCAAAAAGCTCTTCCTCAAAGCACCGTTCTTACTCCTCAAAATCGCGGCACCACCCTCGGGGATCGCGTTCCCGATCGCATTCTATAGAGCCCCATCGCGAGCGCGACAAGTGGGAAAAATACCGCGAGTTAATCCGTCGCACGGAAGAGAACCTAAACCGCGCATTGACATTCCACGAAAAGAACCCGGAGAAGCATCCGTGTTACCCGGATGAATGGAAGAAGTTCTGGAACCGGCGGTACAAGGAACTCCAGGCAGAAGGTAAAGATCCGTCTAAGCACGACTTCAAGCCCGAGTGGATTGAGTTTTGGAACAAGCGAATGCGGGAGCTGCATAATGAGCAGCTTTCTTCCCGCAAAGAAGACATTCGCAAACAGCTAGATCTGCCTGAGGACAAACCTCCAGAGCAACCGATCAAGTGGAGCTCCAGCACCAAGAGGAATAGCAAAGAAGATCGACTGCCGTCTCCTCCTCCTCCGGTAGCCAAAAAGACCCGGTTACCGGATAGCGATGATGATGATGTTGAGTATGTTGGTACCAAGACTATCAAACCAGAACCCAAGGTTAGAACCGCTGGAGAGTACCGGGAACAGCGGGAACGGGAGCGGGAACGCGAACGCGAACGTGAACGAGATCGCCATCATGAGCATGCTCGCGAAATGGTCCGCGAACGCGACTACTCTTACTTGTATGCGCGTGATAAGCCGCCCTACCGACCTTATTACCAAGCGACTCCCAGACCAGTGATTCACCCCAGAGTGCGGCATTATGCTCCCTATCCATTGAAAGAAAAGTCCGCGAGTCCGCCGGCTCAGAACTTGGAAGCTTTGAAGGAAGATCTGGAGATCATTGGGCTGTTGAGATTGCTATCAGCCATTGAGCAGCAGTTGGGTTCCATGGGACCGAAAGTGGTCGAACTGCTGAAGCGAGCTCTTGCTCTAGAGAAAGCAAAGCCCAATTCCGCGGAAGAGTTGCTGCTTGATGAGGAAGTAAGTGTCTTCTTCGAAGCTGTTAAAGAAAAACTAAAGGGCCAGTTGTTCGCGGGGATGATTGAGAAGAAAGCGATTCCTGCTACCAAGTCCGCTGTGCAGAACATTGCTCAACTGCTCCACAAAGCGGAGGAAGATAAGAAAAAGAAAGAGGAAGAGGAAGAGAAACGCAAGAAACAGACTGAAGAAATAGCACGTTCCTTGGCTTCTTTCTCGCGGTCTGCTTTTCTTACGCGTAGTTCTGATGTTAGTTCGATGAAGTCCGAGCCTGTTAGTGTTCCGGGTGTAGGTGCTGTTGATAAGGTTGCCATTGCTCAGCAGATTGCTGCTGCGTTGGTGGCTCAAGGAAGGACCAATGTCTCCCAAGATGAATTAGAGACTCTGATAAACGCAGTCGTTGGAATGGCTGAAGCTTCGCAACACAGCGACAAGCCGATCACTGCTGCCAGCTTTGTGAAAAGTTTGACTGCTACTGAAGCCCCAGCAGCTCCAGCTCTCACTCCAACTCCAGTAACTCCAGTAGCTCAAGTAGCTCCGGCGCCAGCTCCACCTCCACCTCCACCTCCACCTCCAGGGCCAGTTGAAGAGAAGAAACCAGAATTAGCTCCGGTGGAAACTGTTGAAACTCACGCTGCTAGGATGGAAAATCTCACGGACAATGATCTTAAAGACCTTCTGCAGAACTTTAATGATCTAGGAACTGATAAGCAGCACGGGTTAATAAATTTCTTGAAGAAGTTAGAAGCCAGTGATCCTGCTAGAGTTGAAAAGCTTCGTGGGTATGTAAATTTAGGCAGCTCTGGAGGCTCCGTTCGCGATGATTCTCCAAGGGATGATGAGCCTATTAGTAAAGGACGCAGTCCTTCGCCATTCGCTTCCCGCAAAGGCGCTCACAATCCCTCAGATGATGACCACCTTAAGTGGAAACCCAAGATTGACATGTTTGCTGATGATGAAGAGGATCGCAGACGCAAAGATGATGAGAGACCCAAAAAGATTGACCTCTCTGATGACGACGATGATTATACTTTTGAAGACATTTACAAGGCAGCTGACAAAAATGTCCTGGAAAGCCAGAAAGCTAAAAGACACTCTGACTCCGTAGCACGTTCCTGGTCCCGATCTAGGTCCCGGTCCCCGTTGTCGCGCAAGGAAAAGTCTAACGATACTATCCTTAGTGAAACCAAGCGGCTGATAGACAATATTATGGGTGGGCTTCCCAATAAGTATGTAGTCAAGTCCCATATGCAGAGAGAACGCTCCCCCGTTAATTCTGACATCCTGCCCCCCGGGTCCACTAATGTAACCATTCCACCGCAGAACTACCCGCCGTTCAACCCACCCAATCAGTCTCTCCCTCCGGTGCACCAACCTGCTCAACTTCACCAACCTAGCCACCAGGTTAACTACAACCTACCCAACCAGCAGAATCCCTACCCTCAAAACTACTCCCAGCAGAACTACCCTAACTCGGCCTACATGACCAACAACGTCCAGCCGATGTCGAACATGAACAACGGATACAACCAGCCGTACAACCAACCCTACTCTGGAAATAATATGGCTCCCAACCAAAACCAGTACGGGCCTCCGCAGAACCAGTACCCCCAGTCTCAGCCCCAGTCCCAACAGATGTACGGCGGCCCTCCGAACCAGTATGGCTCGGGGCCTTCCGCTCCTGGACCGATTGGCTACCCTCAGCAAAACACTAATCAGTATGGAAATTACAATAGATTCTATTAATTTTTAATTATTAATTATTAACGATACTCTTGTTCTTGTTTTTGATGTTGATGGTGTTGATTTTTCAAGTCCTCCGTTTTCTATGTATTAGTTTTATCAATCGAGTCGGAAATTAAGGTCATTTTTCCGAGTGAACAAAATATTTAAATAATTAAAATGATTTTAATGTTACTGTGTAAAAATATCAAGATTATTTTTTTTAATTTGGTTATATTAATATCATCTTACTCTTCGGCTTGTAAATTAAGTATTATAGATTTTGCTATCTAATATGTACTCGGTACTTTAATAAGCAAGCGATTCAATAAAGTTTTGAGAAAGATTTAAAATAAAATTGACCGAGTTTATAGTGTTATGATAATAGATTTATTTATTTATTTATTTATTAGTTTAATTGCACATTTAATGACTAGATTATTCAGTCTAGTTGTATTTAAGACAGTACACTTTCTTAAACTTATATCCTTATCCTTAGTTAGATAATTAATTATTAATTACAAATATGCTGCTTATATAAAAGTGGAATCCGGTTTTTTTTTTTTTTTTTTTTTTTTTTTTTTATATTAGAGGTAAATGCAACAGTGGATTGATAAATTAACTTAACTGATTAAGGTTTTAAATAGTCACTTAAGGAGCTTCCACTTTTGTATAATTCCTGGAGAATTTTTATTGTAAATTTGGATGTGAAGCTATAGAGATTTTTTTTTAATTTTAGAATGTTAAATTGTGGATTTTATATTAAAAAATAGTAGTGGTAGAATTTTTATGTTTTGAAAATTTTGAAATTTTATTAGATTAAATCTGAAAATTTATTTTACAATTTTTTTTAGCTAATATAATTTTTTTTAAATTCAGCAAAAAATTAAATTTTATTTTTAGTTTTTTAAGTCAACAATAATAAATCTAGAAAATTCTTAATATATTATAACTAATTTTTAAATAAAAAATCTTTTAGTATTGTTGCAAAAAAAATTTTAAAACTTTACAATCAATAAAAAATTTCAAAATTATATTTTATAATTTTCTGACAGTAAAAATTTTTAAAATCTTGAAATTTTCCAATTTTTTGAAAACCATAAAAAATTTAATATAATTTTAAAACTTAACAATCAATATTGCATCAAAAAAAGCTCAAAATCATATTTTATAATTTAGTAATAAAAAAATTCATTAAATTCGTGCAAATCCTAAAACAAAAAATTTCAAACTTTACAATGATCAAAAAGCTCACTATAATAAAATCCACATATTTACCTCAATTAAAAACTTCACACCCAAAACATCATAAAAACTTCCAGGTTACAAAAAATCAAACCTTCCATAAAGAAATCTCCAATTCCATCAGTTTCGCCAGCAGACACAACTATAATGGATCAACAACAAACCAGCAGAGCAAAAATAGCGTAGTCATAGTCTATATATAATAAACATATATCTCAATATTCATAAAAAAAACAAGCCTATTTAGGAACAAGTCCCCTAGTCTTCGGATAAACCGGAGCAGGGATCTGCATCTGTGGAATTTTGCCAACACTCCTAGGCCGGGCCTTGGCGGAGGGAATCCTGGGCTTGGGAGTCCTGAGTCTGACATTAGAAGCATCCACATCAATGTCACCTTCATCCCGTAGCGCCTCTTCAAGAACCGCCTGAATAGTCGGAGCAATAGCCGGTCCCTGGTACTCCAAAGTCGTCCTCGAGGGCATGTCCAGCTCCAAGTTGAGAATATTCTCCCCAGCATACCTGAACCCGCGGCCCATAGCCAGAGCAATCTTCGCGTACTCAGTAGTAGGTCTCCTAGCCCCAGGAGTCGCAGTCGGCCGCTGGATCACCTCAACACCACCAACACTGGGCTCCTTGATCACCCAAGTGTCTTCATCCTCATCAAACCTCACCCTGGTCAAAATCTTGTGCTTCTCTTCCACCGGGATGAAGTTATCAATAATCAAGTACTTCAACTTCAACTCCTTCATCAAATCATGCTGCGTCTCCTCTAGCTCCCGACGATCCCGATTGTACTCGCCGTTAATATCCTCTAGCTCCTGCTTCAGCGCCTGAAGCTTAGCGAAGCACTTCCTGAGCTTCTTGGACTTGACATCCACCTCCTGCTGCAAGTTCGCGTAAGTATCCCTGACCCCCAAGAAAGTGGACTCCTCATCTTCCAACTTCTGCTGCATCTCTACCTCGCGTTTCTTCCGCTCAGCAATCTCCGCAGACCTCTGCTCCAAGGCGCGCTGCTGCTCGTTGGTATGATCAACAATATTCTTCCCACCACACAGCATCTTGCTCTCCAACTCCTTGATCCTCATCACCAGCTGCTCAGTCTCCTGCTTCTCGGTCTTGAGCTGCTCGGCAATCATCTTCTTTTCAGCTTCAGTCACCCGGTTGTCTTCTTTGCTATCATCAACCTCCGACTCGGTGTCCTCTTCTTCCTTCTCCCTTCCTTCATCACGCTTCTTCTTGGTCTTCTTCTTCTTCTTAGCAACCGGACCCTTTAGAGCCAGCCGTTCCTTGAGTCTGCTAATCTCCTCCTGGTACTGTCTCAGCAAAGCGTCTTTAGGATCCTCATTGATCCTCGGCTTGTTCTTAATATTCTTCGCCCGGTTAGCGTACCTGAGAGTAGTCAGCGTTTCATCGTAATTATACGAAGCAGGACCAATGTTAGCGACCATGATCGTCTTCGAGTTTCCCCCCAGAGAGTCCTGGAGCAGCCGAGTCAGCTTGGAGTCACGGTAAGGAACATGAGTAGTTTTACCATCAACCAGAGCAGAAATAACGTTGCCTAACGCGGAGAGACTCAGGTTGATCTTGCTGGCTTCCTTTAACCTATCACCACAGGAACCGGTCTTGCTCTGCCTTTCACTGCCTGCCAGGTCCACCAGGTTCAGACGGCCGACCCGGATCCCCTTGCTGTCACCCACCAAGGACTCCATCTCGATGGTGATCAGGAAAATGGCATGGGACCTGGAGCTGTGCTCGTTCATGTTAGTGGCACCTATTGTCCGGTTCAAGTTCCCCTTGTTCATCAGCTGCTGGATCTCCTGAGCACTCTTGCAGACCACTGTTGATAAATCCTTGACAAAGACTCCGCTGTCAGGCTTCTCCTTCAGCTCGAATCTCAGCGACTGGTCGGCATGCAGAAGATCCCTGATTTCTTCCTGGTAAATCTCGAGGTAGCTCGCGCGGACCAGGTACTGCATGTTCTCAGTGCGGCCTATGTGGTTGAAGATATGCTCGAAGGACCTGGGGATGATTCCTCTCCGGTCGTAGTCATTCTTGGAGCCCTCCATCGTGTACGTTTTTCCAGTTCCGGTCTGTCCGTACGCGAATATCGTCCCGTTGAACCCGTCCAACACTGAAGAAACCAGCGGACGCACTGTCTCCTCGTAGATGTCCTGCTGACTAGAGTGCCAGTCGTAGACTGCGTCAAAAGTAAAGACCTTCAAGTTGTCCTTGGACGGGTCTTCTCTAGGACTCTTTATCTCTACGACTCCTCGAGAAGGTGTCACTTCCACCACCCGGGAATACTGCCTCGCTGTTTCCTTGGCGTCCATCGGACGACATCTCACCACCACTTGGACGCACTGGGTCCCACTTTCTGAAATAGTGAGCGCCTTGGCTCGTTTTTTTGCTGATTTGCTTTCTTTCTCCATTTTAATCTAAAATTTAAAAAAAATTAAGCTTTTCAATGGTTTTAAGGAAAATATTTAACTTACCTTGAACTGCTGGAAATTATTAAACGTTTTGTTATTCAAGACTTAGATACAAGGTATATTGATCCATTGTTTGAGTCCATACCAACCGTGTCAATGTCTTTTTTTTTATTTGACAGCAACCAACTTTTCACCCACTGCAATTGCGAGCAAATAATTACAAATTGTAATTTGTTTCAAAAATATTCAACTTAGTTTTGTTTAAAAAACAGTTTCGTTTTTTTTTTTTTTTTCACATCCTTATATTGTTTATCGCAATTCAATTTACGTTTGACTACTTAAAATTGCACGTGCGCACTCGCCCATGACTATTATTTCACTACCGATCAATGAACGCGTACTACCTGGAGGGAATACTGGAATACTTGCGAGCGTGGAGGTTAAGCAGGAATTTTTTTTATCTACCAAGCCCACACAGCTGTTCTGAAAATTGTGTAATTATTAATATTTTATGACACTGAAGTTAGCAGACGTCTAAAAATTTTTGATTTTTTTTATTAATTAAATTACAACTAAAAAAATATTTCTAAAAAATTGCACTTATAGTTTTTCAAGTTTTCTACATGTCAAATTTTTTTTTTTTAATTGTTTAATTGAAATTTTTCCAATAAAAAATTTCTAAAAATTTTGAAATGTCGGCTAACTTTATTTTCATAATATTTTTTAATGATACTTATGATTAATTAATTGATAATTTATAGTAAAATAAAAATTTTTTACTTTTCAAGACAGAAAATAAGCGAAAAATTGCAAAATGACAGCTACTGTAAAAAAATGGTGGAAAGTCTAAAATTAATACCGAGTTTCGCCGCTAGAATCTCTTTAGTCTGTGGCTGCTTAACCACGCGAATTGATGACGTTACTTCAATAGTGTCCGCAAAATTTTCGAGTAACTGAACTAGTGACAACACTGGGACAGTTAAAGAAACACTCCAATTTTTACAACTCACCTTTTTTTGGTTTTAGTTTTATTTTTTTTTTTCATCTGTGCTAGATATAAGTTCAATTATATATATATATATATACATATCGTTAAAGTTATGTGTATTTGTGGTCTAGAGCTCGGATTATAGATGTTCTACCTCGGCCTATATTATTGAGGCAATTAATACACGAATCACATGAGGAAACGTGATTCGATATTTAATATATAATAATTACGTATTTTTTATTTAAATTGTAAGTCGTAAATTTTTTATTAAATTTTTAATTAGAGTTATTTTTGGATTTTAAGTTGTGGGGAGTTTTTAACCCCTGGGATTCGAGGTGACGTGTCTTTTTCATAAAATTAAAAAAAAATTAAATTTTTGTATGAAAATTTATTTTCGGTTTTTTAATTTTAATTCTGGAATTTAAAAAGTTCTGAAATGGTTAGGAATTTTTTACAGAAGTAAATTATTAAAAAAATTAAATCTGCAGAAATTCTAGAAAATTTTATGAAAATTAAAGTAGCAGATATTTAATAATTTTTTAGAATTTTTTTAATAAATAAATAAATTAGTGCAAAAAAAATTGACATGTAAAAATTGTAAAAAATTAAAAATGCAATTTTTTTTAAATAATTTTTTGGCAGAAATTTTTTTGTTAAATAAAATTAAAAAATTGTGAAATGATTGCTAACTTTAATGTCATGAAAATTTTTTAATTTATTTGTTGAATGGAATTAAAATGTAGTCTAGTAATTTCAGTTTCATTTTTAAAAAATTTATTTAACTATTGAAGAATAGTTATGGGTAATTGTATTTTTATAAATTATTGCAAGTTTTTATTTTTTTAATTTAGTGTTATTTTATACTGAAAGTTAAAATTTTCTTTTATTAAATATTACTCATAATTATGATACTGAAATTGAGAGGTACCCAAATAATTTTTAGAAACAATTTTCCAGACTTAATTTATTTTACACGAAAAATCAGAAAATTGTTAAATTTCTGCTAATTTTATTGTGTTTGAATTTTTCTAGTAAAGTTCAAAATCTACAAATTTTGTGATAGTTAAAATAGTTGTTAGATTATTTTTGAATTTTTTAATAAATTATGAAAAAAAAAAAACTGCAACAATTGAATTATAATGAAAAAATTGTATATATAGAAATTTAAAAAAAATCACAAAACGAATTTTTATGAATAATTTTTTTATAATCACTGATTTTTTTTTTATAAAAAATCCAAGAATTATCAGATATTTCCTAATTTAAGAATCATAATATTTATTGGAAAAATTTATCATTTTTTTATAAATAAAAAAAAACATTTATTGTAATAACAATTTTTGTTTAATGTGCAAATATAACTGCTTTAATTTCAATAACACTCCAATTAGTATTACCTTAAAATATTATTTAATTCTTCATACATTTCTATAAAAATTTTCAAACATTTTTTTCACTTAAAAAATTTACAAATTATATTTTATACAAATTAAAAATTCTATTAAAAATTTTTATTTTTCAAAAAGTACCTTTAATTAAAAAAAAAAAGCTCGGCAATTATTTGCAAGCGGTGTCAACCCCATTTTGGGCCATAACTAGGTGAAAAATAAACATTTTCAAATTTTTTATCCTACTTGTTTTTACGGCACATTTATGATAAAAATTGTGACAAAAAAAATTAAGATTTCGATAGCTTTTTTGCCTTTAAAAGTTGGAAAAAATTTTAGCTTTAATGTTTTACGATAAAATTTTTATTTTATCTTTTTTTTTTTGAAAAGTATACATAAAAAAAACGAACAATTTAAAAATAAAAAATTGTTCAATTTAATGAAAAAAAAATTTAACATGGCCTAGCATGTTGACCCCACTTGTAAGTAATTACCAAAAATTCTATTCTCTCCTACATTTTAAAAATAATCTTTAAAATCAATACTTGAACAACAACACCTTTTAACTTATTACCCCTTCCAAAAATCTCACCTGATAAATTCAACCAACTATAATCAACTTGACCTAAATAAAATAAACCAATCTGATAATATTTTCCAGGCCAACATGAAGCTATGGCTGGTGGTGATCCACATCATCCTGGTGGGCACAAATTTATGGGCGACTGCTCACTACAACGAGGAGGTGACTGAAGACAACGAGTTTGCGGAGTTTGAAGACTTCGAGGACGAGAAACCCGCATCTGCTTCTGACCAGTTTCATCCCGCCAGCACCACCAACAAAAATAATAATAATAATAATAATAATAATAATAACAATAACAACAATAATAATGATAATAATAACAACAACAATGACGATGAAGTATCCGTAGACGACTACGAAGAAGAGGATTCACTTGTAGAAGACGACATAGATTCAGAGTTCGACCACTTCCAGGACGAAGAAGAGTTCGAAGGTCTAGACAACAACAACAAGAACGCTGGAAAATCCGACGAGCCATCAACATTGACCATCACAAAAGTACCCTTGCACTTACGAGCTCGTTGGGACAGCTACTACCTGGAGATTCTGATGGTGACCGGGTTGGTAATCTACTTTATCAACTACTTCACTGGGTGCTCGAAGAACTGTCGGCTAGCGGAGTCCTGGTTTGCCGAGCACCGCAAAATTTTGGAGGCAAACTTCTCATTGGTAGGCGATACCGGAAAGTCTCTGGAGGAATCCTCAGAAAATTTTCTGATCAAGGAAAGCGAGTCCCAGTACAGCATCTACTGTTCAGGTCGGGTTGGCTGTGAATCGCTGCTGATAGAGTTGAAACTACTGAAGCGACAGGACCTGATAAATGTAATAGCCCAAATTTTAAGGCCCCAAAACGATCAGGCCCACTTAAAGTTCGAGATGTCCAAGGACGAGACTGATAACTTTGTCTTCGCGGTGGCTACCAAGCGGACTGCAGTCCATTTCACTCGGGACATTGCAGATATTTCTACCTACTGTCCCGAAAAAAGGCCGGGAGATAAATTTGGACTTCCTGCTGGGTTCTATCTGATGTCAGAGATCTCAGAGGCCGCTACTGCGGTTCTGGACTCCAAGGTTGTGGCTGCTTTTACCAAATACTCCCAGTTTATTGACTATATTCATATCAGCGATCAGTATAGTGGAAATAAACAGCAAGAGTGAGTTGTAATTGATAGTAATTGTTATTTTTTACTAATTGATGATCATTTTTAGGGACTCTGGGGCCTTAACTATGCCGGAGGTGAAAAGAGTCCTCCTGGTTGGACTGAATATCAGCGTGAAGGGAAAAAATCCTAATGCGGAGTCTGTGGAAAAAATGAGAGCGTTGTTACAGTTGACGTTCTATCTTGTTGATAAATTAAGGCGTTATAGAATGTCTAAGGAGGTAAAGTTTTTGATATTTTTATTACTACTAATATTTGGTGGTTTTGCGTCAAAATATCTGGAGAAATTACTGATAAATAGCACACAGAAAAAAAGGTTCACTTGAGCCAAGAAAATATTTTTCTTCCTAATTATTTTCTTGAGCGAAAAAAAAATTTTTTTTTTGACAAGAAATTTCACTTATTTCAACAAAATTAATTCTCATGCTTTAAGAAATACGTATCTGGATTCAAGAAAATTTATTTAAGTCAAGAAAATCTTCTTGTTTTAAGAAAATTCAGCCTCTTGCTCCAAAAAATCTAGTTCTTGATAAAAGTAAATTTTCTTGTCTTGAGAAAATTTTTCTCTTGCTCCAAAAAATTAAATATAAAGATAGAAGTAAATTTTCATTAATATTTTTATTGATTAACATTTTAAATAGGAAGATCAAATATAATAATATTAAATCATTTCATTTCATTCAATATGTATAATTGAACGCTAAAATAATATAAATGGGTATCAAATATTAGAGAAAAATTTTCTCAAAGTGAGAAAATTTTTTTCTCAGCTAAAGTAGGTAGTGCTGTTTCCCTAAAGTATCTAAAAATCTTGATCAAATATAAAAATTTATTGTATCAAGTATTTATGATAATTTGAATTCAGAAAAAATTACTTCTACCAAGAATAGAATTTCAAGAAAAATTTTTACTTCGGCCAACACAACTTCAGGCTTCCTTCAGGCACTCGAAAATTTTCTTGAGCCAAGAATTTCCTTCTCCAGTCAAGAAATTTTTTTTTCTGTGCAAGCATATATGCATTAAAGCACGGCTTGGAAGTTATTATTCTCTATTAAGGTAGTTGTCATGGTATAATATTGTCAAAAAATTAGAGATTATATACGCGCCGCAAAAGTATATGAGCTTGTAGCTAAGTAATCCATAATTTTTACGCAAGATTGTAGCCTTGGAGACGCAACCCATACAATTGTTTCTGTCCGACTCCGTAGATATATACTTTTTCATAAATTGTTGAACTTTAATCCGTTATTTATAAATAATTAGACGGTCTAAAGTAAAACTTGTTTTTGAAAAAAATTTTATTTGACAAATGCAAGAAGTATTATATATGTAGTGAACGTCTGTAAAGTTAGCATTGACACAATCCAGAATTGATAGATATTGTTTATGATTTCTCGGAATCTAATCAAGTAACAAAGTTCTAACCAGAGCAACTAATTAGCAACAAATTTATCACCGACAAACGAACGTAGTGCCAACTTTTAACTTTTTTAAAGCACTTATAACTTTGAACGTCTTTAATAATAATAATAATTTACATTAAAAACAACATTATACGATCATAAGTGTGAATGATGAAATTTTTAAAACTGCACGACAGTATATACATACATTACCAATATTCAAACAGATTACATAATATTACAGACCATGATATAAGTTTTATTTATATCACTTTTTACATTAAGTGTTTTACAAAGGAGATTATTTTTTTATGCTGTAAAAAATAACAAGAACTAGATTTATCTTAGCGCTCACAATCTGCAATTTATGATTCTTACAGCGTAATATTACTTGCAATTGATTTCAAATAAATAAAAGCATTATCTTTATTATAAGACTGGACAACTCTCAAAACACGACTGTTAAGGTCACGGTAGTTTTTTTTTTATTAGCATCAATACTGCGAGTATTAATTTGGTCAGTTACAATAAGATTAATTTTTATTAGAACGCACAGCTTTAATGATTAAAAAATTCTTAATTGTATTTGAAGATTATGTATTGATAAAAAATTACCTTGATTAAAGAAAAACATTCTTAATCAAGACCGTCATTTTAAAAAATTTAATCATTTTTAATCAATTGAAGAAATTCTTAAACTAAGTTAAATTTACTTAAACCAAGAACAATTTTTCACTGAAAATTTTTTTGCTTAATTTTTCAAGACAATTAAATTCTTAAAAATGATGATTTTTGTTAAAAATTTTATCTTCTAAATCAAATTAATTTTATTAGTCCATATATTTTAAAAGAAAATTATTATAGATGAATTTCACGTTTAAATAAATTAATTAAAAAAAAAAAAATAGTGTACTTATAAGCATTCAACTAGACAGAATAATTTTTATTAAATTAAAAATTACTATTAATATTAAATTTAATTTAAACTAGCCACAAAAATACTTCATTAATATTTTCACCATGGACATAATTTCTATAGATATTCCGACCGGTCACCTAATTGACAAAAATCATACTAATTGCTATTAAATTTCAGGCTAAAAACAAATCAGACAAAAATCGTCAGAAAGTTGAAGAAGCTTTCTTAAAGACAACCCACGCAGCACGTGCAGAAGCTGCAGCAGCTAAGCGTGAGGAGAAACGCCGCCAGGAAAAAGAGCGAATTCTCCAAGAAGAGGATCCCGACAAGCAGCGAAAGTGGGAGGAAAAAGAACAAAAACGTCTAGCGAAAAAACGCGCCCCTAGAATGAAGCAACTCAAAGTTAAAGCCCTGTGATTTAAATCCCTTTGTAAACATTTTTTTTTTCTAATCTAATTTATCTAATACCTTTATTGAGAAGAGGACTGATTTCATCATCGCATTTAAATCGTACGTATTCTCATTGGAAAAATCAATCTCACTTTTTACATTATTTTTTTTTTCGAATCGCGATTTTTTGTGGTACCTCGAACAAATAATAATCAATAATAATCATTGTATCAGATTGTAATTTTGCAGCACTTTTTTTTCATATTTAATCAGGTTATTTCAAAGGCACCGACAATTGTTATTGATTAAATTATTAAATTTAATCATCTCTTTAAAATAAGTCAAGAAGTTTTGTAAAATTTTCGAGTTTTTTAGAAGAAAAAATTTTAGTGTGTCAAATGCTGCAAGATTAGTCATAAATATTACAACGCATATTAAGTTTACAATATTTCATTGTTGAGTGCAACTGCGTGATGTGCGTTAAATATATATTCATATATATATATATATTGACCATACTTAAATCATGTATTAAATAATAATGTATAATTTATTGTACATAATAAAACGTTTTACAAACTAAAACAATAAGTTGTAAAAATAAAATAATCATTAAGGAAATACTTTACTTTTTTTTATTTTGAGTTTCAAAGTAGAATACGGTCTTAAATAAAAAAAAAATTTAATTCTAGTCAAAGAAGTTATTTTAATCCATGATACTGAAATTAGTAATCTGAAAATTTTTGGAATTTTGATAACTAATCAATTATTATAAAAAAATACAATTTTAAAAATTCACACTTGTAATTTTTTTTAATTTCTACATGTGAAATTTTTCTGCTAAATTTTTTTTATTATAATTTAATTGTTATAAAGGTAAAAAATTTTTAGATGTCTGTTAAATTCAGTATTATTTTAATTTCATAAAAAAATTTATTTTTATCAATGTTAATTTTTAAAAAATTAATTTATATAATTTTCTTGTAAATCTATTTTTTAAATTAAATTTTTGGATTTACAAATTGTAATTTCTTCAAATTCAGCTACAAATATCTTCTCTACTTAGATTTGTACAATTAGAAATTTTAAAAAATCAGAAAATTATATCAAAAAAAAAAATAATTAATTAATTAAATTTTTTTAAGTAAAATTTAAAATTTCAGATTTTTTAAATTTTTCCGCGTAAAAAATGAGGTTCTGCGCCGTCGCATTTCAATCCATAATAAACTTAGTATACATCGTGCATCAATAATTAAATAAGATTATTTTACAAAAGCCACGTCAGTGTTAAAAGAGCTCGTTAATTACCTGCATCAACAATTCCATTCACTAATCACAACAATAAAAACGTAAATATCTAAAGAAGTTCAATGGACGAATCGATCAGGACGAATCTCATTGGTCCAACCTCGGATTTCGATCACGATGTCATCCTAAGCGATAATTTGGAATTCTGGATGACGCGACTCCCGCCATCACTCAAAAAAATACCGATCATTCACCTAGCGATCCCAGGTCAGTTAACGTAACCTTCAATTGATGTTTTTGTTTTAATTTTCTATGATTGTATCGTAGAACTAAACGTAAATCATAACCTCGATAATTTTGGGAAAATTATGACATTAAAGTTAGCAGTAGTCACTTGAACATTTTTTAGTTTTTTTTTAATAAACAAATTTGTTTAAAAAAAATCATTTTTTAAAAATTGTATGAAAATTAATTTAGCATATATTTAATAATTTTAAGAATTTTATATCAAATTAATTATGCCAAAAACAAATTACAAAAAAAAATTGACATGCAGAAATTTAAAAAAATAAAAAATGCAATTTTTAAAAAATAATTTTTCTAAACAAATTTTTTTGTCTAATTAAATTGGAAAATTTCTAAGTGGCTGCTAAATGAAAATTAATTTAGCAGATATTTTTTTAATAATTTTTAGAACTTTTGTTAACAAATAAATTGTGACAAAAAAATTATTTAAAAATAATTGATATGTAGAAATTTAAAAAAATTAAAAATCAAATTTTTTAGAAAAAATTTCTTAAAATTAATTATGACATTAAAGTTAGCAGTCACTTAACCATTTTTTAATAAATAAATTTGCTCAAAAAAATTATTTCTAAAAAATTTGATTTTTTATTTTTTTAATTTTTTAAATGCCAATTTTTTTTTCTCAGTTTTTTTGACTTAATTTATTTGTTAAAAAAATTCTTAAAATTATAAAATATCTGCTAAATTAGTTTTCATGAATTAATTTAATTATTCAATAAAATTAAAAATTTGTCAAGTGACAGCTAACTTTAATTTCATAAAAATTGTACTTTTATTTTTCTGAAATTTCTACATGTCAATTTTTTTTTTGCCAGAATTAATTTCTTACAAAAATTCTTAAAATTATCAAATGTCTGCTAAATTAATTTTAATCAAAAAAAATTATTTTTAGAAAATTGCATTTCTTTTAATTTCTCCATGTCAATTTTTTTGCCATAGTTTATTTGTTACAAAAATTATCAAATATCTGCAAAATTAATTTTCATATGAAAATTAATTTAGCAAATATTTATGATACTGAAGTTATAACAGACGTCTAACTTTTTTTCAGATTTAAATAACAATTAAATTATTATAAAAAAAATTTAATAAAAAAATTCCACATAAAGAAAATTACAAAAAAGAATTACAAGTCTAAATTTTTAGAAATATTTTTTTTTATCATGATTAATTTGTTGAAAAATTTTAAAATCTATCAGATGTTTGCTGATTTCAGTATCATAACTAGGTACCTATTTGTAAATGTTAAGAATTTGTTTAAACATATAAATTATGACAAAAAATTGACATGAAGAAATTTAAAAAAATAAAAAATGCAATTTTTTAAAAATAATTTTTCGAAACAAACTTTGTTAAATAAAATTAATAAATGCTTATTAAGTGACTGTTAACTTTGATATCATGATAATTTTAGGTTCTCACAACACAATGACGTACACAATAAACCGATTCAACAATGTCGGCCCTGATGAACCAGCATCTCTTCAATTTTTCGGGAAGTATTTTTCACTTATATCGAAACCGCTGATATTTAATTGGTCTGTCACGCAGTATGACGACATAGTTCAGCAATTGAATGGGGGAATTCGTTATCTAGACCTAAGATTAGCAACCAAGACTAATAATAATAACAACATCGAAGCTAATGACATTGACAATGACAACGTTTATTTTCTTCACGGCCTGTACGGTGATGAAGTGACACAACACTTGATAAACATAAAAAACTGGCTGCACCTGCACCCAGAGGAGATAATAATAATCGACTGCCAGCATTTTTACCTGTTCAACGAGCGAATCCACAAAAGATTCGTCAACAAGCTGAAGAATATATTCAAGGAGCTGATATGTCCTTCAACAATAAATCTGCAGAAGATAACCCTAGACTGGATGACAAGCAACCGGTACCAGCTGATACTCGTCTACAGAAACGAGATCGTCAGGACAGAAGTCAGCTTCTGGCCTAGCGGACTGTGGCCATCGCCCTGGCCAGATACTACTCGGCCTAGAGCTCTGGTGGACTTCTTGGATATGAGACTGAAAACACGGCTCGCTGACACCGGGTTCGTATCCCAGTGCTTGCTTACTCCGGATGCTAAGTATATTCTGAGGCACTTGTGCGGAAGCTTACATCGCGATCTAGCGGGGGCTTGTAGGAAAACTTCGCTGGAATGGATTAAGAGGAACGGGCCTGGTGAAGGAGGGCTTAATATTGTAATCACGGATTATGTATCCTTTGATAATTTTCTTTTTTGTAAGCTTGTCATCCAGAGGAATGCTTTATTGCTCAATTATTATGAAAGGCACTCCAGTGCTTTTAATCCGTGCCCGTGAGAGGGAGTTTGGATTTTGTTTGAGGTTATAATTGTAAATGGGGTTAGTTTCTCAGAATGATACTTAAGGTAGTACTACCGGTTTTAGAATATACGTTCAGAATTTGATGAAACTTGGCATAGAGGTACATAATAATATCTTAATTAACCACTTAAATTTTTGGAGGCCTATCAAGAACTGAAAAAAACATATTAATATTTACATATTTTTGCCTTTACCATCGATCCTTATGGAAAATCACAGCCTTGATTTTATTTAACAAAACTGGACGTTCAGATTCTTACAAAAATTAAGACAACGAGAGAAAATAACATCTAGAATATATTTAATAACAATCAGTATGGTTCAGAGAATGTGAGAATATTAATTTGTTAATAAAAAAAGGCCATTCGGCAGCCGAAATGGAAGTAGATTTCATGATGAAAAGAATTAAAAACAACTAAAATTATAAAAAAAAAAATAAATTACGTTCAATAAAGAAAGAGAAGAATTATTGTACTTCAGTACTTTTCAGTCAGTTCTGTATAGACAAAATGACTGCAAGAGTAAAATTTCTTAAAAATGATCCTAAGATGGATATTTTTTTGCTTTAGAACAAAATGTGAGCACATAAATTGAAGCTTAATTTCTCAGCTTTCAGATGCATTTTACAGAAATTGAATAACTCGACGCGTTCAAAAGTTATTTGAAGGAGAAGTAGTGAAAGTATCAAATTTTCAAATTTTCAAAATTTTTAACTGATGTAATTTCTAAACTATTTGACCGATTAAGCTCATATTTGAACTTGACCTTCCTAATAGTCGATAGAATAAGTATGTTGAGTTTCATTAAGATCCCTTAAGAATTGTTGACGCTATCGCCGTGACAAGCCGCGTTATATCGTATATATACATACATATATAAACTTTTGAACCATATGTATTTTCTGACTCAGATTGTCGAGTTAGGTCGAAATATAGTAAAATTAACGGAAAATTACGTCATGAGGACAAATAAAATAGTTAGATTTTTATGAAATCTACTAATAAAAAACATTCAAAATTTATCTTTGTTTCTCTTTCTCCAACGCAATTAAGTATAGGGAAATCTACTACATTAATCAAACCAGGTTTGGATTTGACTCGTGTGGTAACAGTAGTACTACCTTAAATCAGCAGACACTTAAAAATTTTTTGATTTTTCTTGAAATATAAACTAGAAAATTCTAAAAAAAAAACATTGAATTTTTCGTATAAATTTTTCTTGCTATAATTTATTTGTTAAAAAAAAATTCTAAAAATTATCATATGACCTATAGGTGTCTTAATTTCAGTATCATTTCTCAGATAATTTCTATTGTAAAAGTTTATTGTAAGATTAATAATGTTAGAATATTGAAATTAACAAACATCTGATGATTTTTAGGATTTTCTATAGCAAAAAATTATTATAAAATAAGCCTAAAAAGAATCCATACATAAAAATTACACGATTTATGATCCTAAAATCCGGAAAAATTTGATAATTTTTATAAACAAATTATTTTTAAAAATTCGCACTTGATAATTTTCAAATTTTTATATATGGAATAAATTTTTTACACTATAATTGAATTCTGATAAAAATTTCAATAATTGTCGGATGTCCGCTAATTTGAATTTCAAAAATTAATTCAATTATTTTGTTTTCTTTGTAAAATTTCTAATGGAGTAAATTTTGCGTGTGAAAAATTATTGACATAAGACATTAATTGTTTTGAGAAAATATAAATTGAAAGCTCTAATGAAAACAGTTGATACACTATCAACTTAATTTGTAGGCTAATTTGTACACTGGATTAGGTGATCAAAGAAAATTAATTTTCTAATTAAAAAAAAAAAAAGAAAAAAAATATTCTAAAATTTTTTAATTTTAAGTTGTTTAGAATTTTCAAAGTTATAACTTATAACATTTGCACTAATAAAAGCTTTATAACTTTTCTCTTAAAATTACAGCCAAAACACACGGCATTTCTTGTGCATGCACTTCGCTCTCATCCAAGCACTGATAATGATTCGTATTTTGGAGCAAAAAATGATTTCAAGTAACTCAAATAAAAAAAAAAAAAAATGAAATAGATTTTTTGCCAAGTAATTCGAATAAATAAAAGGAAATTTTGATGAGATTTTCATAGAGTTGATGAATGAAGCTAGTTTTTTCAATTTTCTTTGATGACAACAAACGAACAAAGAATTTTTTTTATCACCCAAGTAATGGGGCTCAATTGTAAAAAAAAAGTATTAAAATAGTGTATTTTTCGAATGTTATTTTAGTTAAAGATATTTTTATAAATAAATATTTAAAAACTTGAAAGTATAAATTTATTAGTTTCCTTAAAGATGGAAAAAACTTTTCTTCAATCAACGCAGTGACGACAAGAGCGTAAAAATTTTTTTAAATAAAAATTTAACCTTTTTCAAGATTCCAAAATTCCTTTCTAGAAAAAATTTTTTATTCGAAGAATTTTCATATTGAATCATATTTCCTAAAAGTTCAGAGAACAAAAAATTTGTTTTTTTTTCTATTTTCACTTTTAGAAATCATTTTTACTTTCATTTAAAATGAAAAATTAACTCAAAAAAATGACTAAAAGCTTTTATAACAAACAAATCCAAATTGACAAAAGAATGTTCAAAAATTTTTTTACAATCATTTCGCGTCTAATTTTTTGTACAATGATGAATTACATCCATACGATCCTACATTGAATCTTCTTGATTCCTATATGATTCCATACTTTCTCATTTGAATTCCCATACAAACCTACAAGGATTTTTTTGATAAGGTGGTTTATTTCCCGCAGCAACAGATTGCCAGTCGGGTCGCGAAAATACTCCAATGAATATATATGTATATATACCAGTCTTTTTCTTAGTTACACCTCCCACGATAGTTTATTAACTACAGAAGTAAAGTTATAGTTGAAATATATTACGATATACTTTTTTATAGAAAATGGAAATTGAAATTTTATTATTTGGAGAAAAATATATGAATTAGACTACATCGCGTGACAAATGCAAAAAAGCGCGTATTCCTACAGGAAAATAAGACTTTATGCCAAAAGGCGTAAAAAAAAAATTTTGCCAATCAGTTCAAAATCGTCCAAAACGTCAAGATCACTAAAAAAATCTTTTAGTTACTAACGCCAAAAGGGCGTATCTACAAATACGCCCTTCTGGTTTAACCCTTTTCGGGTTGACCTCGAATCCCTACTTTTAATTTAAATCGTACGTCTTATTCTTGAAATGAAAGAGCTATAGTCTGGTTTGTAGAGAGGAGGCCAAAAAATGGTAGAAGGAGACGCTTGTCTACACAACCACAACTAAACTTTCACTCATCAGCCTTACACCCTCGATGTTGGCTGAGCGGTTCAATGCGTTGATCCGTTCGTACAACTCTAGTGGCAAGCTGGCAAGGAGCGGGTTCGATCCCCGGCGAAGTCGAAAGATTTTTCACATATTCACATGCTGACATCTGTCGATTCTCTGAGGTTCGCTTCAGCGCCGCCTAGGTTTAAGGCAAGTTCTTAACCAACACAGCTATCCACCACACAACACCCAACGGCCGTATGAGAAAATACTCTCGGTGCCAATAGAATTCTTCTTCTTCATCAGCTTTACAACGATACTCCGAGCTGAGAAAGAATTAAGGAAAATAGCTATTTTTTCTATCCTCGTAGAAATAGTCAGAATAGCTTCCTAGGACCTCAAAACGTGGAGATCTGATGATACAACTCGATTTTCGAAAATTGGAGTAAAATCAATAAAGTCCCGATTTTCTGAAAATCATTGATTTTCATAGCAAGAAGTATAAAAATAAGGCTATCATCTTAAAATAGGCTCTTCGTAAATAATTTATTTGAGTAGCGGTACAGTTTAAAAGCTGTCCAAATAATTATAACGTTCTGATGTAAACTTTACAAAAGAATAAAAAAATCAATAAATAAACGATTATGTCACCCTTATATCTACATAGTAAAAAATTTTGCATCATTGCGTCAAAAAATTTTGTGTTAAAAATTTTTGTGTAAAATATCTGGATGGTTCATTTAACAATTTGGATAGTTTTTGCAATCATTCATACTAAGCAGCTGTTTTTACAATACTCGGATAGTTGTATTCATCATTAAATTCTCTCCGTGTACTTAAGTTCTCGGTTAAACGTTGATTATTATGAAGTTTTGAGAGAGAAGTCGAAGGTATATAAAAATGACTTATGTCTAAGCTTAAAAATACATTAGTAAAAGTTGATTTTTGGACAGTTTTGTGAACACGACCTGTAGTAAAGGAATGATTCTACTTTTAATGTATCTAAAACACTGTCCTGTAATTCAATAATCCAATAATTTCAGCATCATAAAAATAATTATTCTTTCATAATTAAACATTGAGCCTAATGAATTGTTTCAATGAGCCATTCACTGAACAGTTTTCAAATAAATCTTTCACTTCTAGACAATATTCAAAATGTTTAAATAATGAAGACACTGATGTCTGAAATGAAGGAAGTATACCAGATTTGTAATTTTTAGGGATTTTTTGCATTGATAGGAGCATCAATGGATAAATATGTTGTAGAAACAGGAATTGATAGACAAGTACTCTTATGTGAAATGTTAAGTGATACTATTCTCCCGGGTTCACTTCTTCGAGTGTTTGGATTTGATGAAAATAATTGTCCCTTCCCCCCCCCCCCCGAATCTGTAAGATTTTAGGTTCATTTTATTTATTGATAATATTCATATAATGATGTTACATAACGTTTTGAATGGACTGATTGTTGTTTTCCATCGTGGTCTGAAGCAATTTACTATTGTATTTTCTGATACATTTCTTCTAGCTTTATCAATTATCCTAATTGCATGCAAGACGTTTATAAGGGTCACAGTTTTTTGCTCCATATCAGTAATAAGTTTTTTAACAACTTCTTTTCTATAAAGAGATTTAAAATTTTTTATTATTCTAGTACAATGCATACTAGTAAAAAATGCGATGTTAATAAAGCAAGCGGAAGAATTTTTCAAAAGTTGCATAATAAGGATGAATGCAATAGTTTGGTATCTATAAAGTCTATTGTCAAGAGTATCAGAAATGCATAAATAAATCAATTGTCAATTGGCTTAACCACATTTAAATATAAACAAAAAGGATAACTCGGGGGAATAATCTAATTAATTCAATAAAAAACAATAGAATTTATTGATGATATCTTATTTGTAGTACAATCTAACATGATATGTTCGTTTTAATTTGTATAAATGATTGCTGGTGATGATGCTATATATACCATTCGACTGCATTATTTTTTTATAATTCAATTTTTTAGTAATTGTTGTATAGAGTTCTTCAGTACACCTTTTACTTAAAAAGTTTTAATTAAACATGTTGATCAAAAAAATAATCGAAGGCATATTTATTGCAATCATACCTCAACTCATTGGAATACAGGTATTTCGGAAATTGTTAATTTGATTGAATGTTACAATATTTTCTATTTCTTTTTGTTCTTACACGATGAAATTTTTTTTGTTACACTTGTCGCAAAAAAATTAACATTCTCCAAAGAAATTCAAACACACAGGGTAGAAGTACTATTTGTGGACACTGTACCATTTATGGACATTTGATGTACAAATTCTGTAAATAATTTATAAACGTAATAGCAACATAAATTCTGTTTGTACAATCATTAAATTTCAAAGTATCTAAAAATAGTACTAAGGTGTCCGAAACCGGTGGTTCTACCCTACTCGATTCCTACATAAAACGACAATAAGTATTTTATTGGGCAATAATAAATTTTAGTTTTTGTTAATTATTTAGGGTACCGTTGAAATCATAATAGAGGATGCATTTTGTTCAAGTTTTAGTGAAGAATATATAACCGAGCCAGATGTCTATGTAGATGTTAATAACCGAGTGTTTGTTAACTTTTCGATAGTTAAACAATTTTCACCGGATGCTCAAGTAATAAGTGTTCTTATCATATTTAATATTATAAATTATAATAATCGCTATTTAAGTTTCTTAAAAAGAAATTAAAATTTTTTCTACTATATGCAAAGAAATATTAAAACCTACAATTGAAACTAGTAAGTTTGTTGCTAACCGAAATCATTAAAATTTATAGTTTCACTTCAAAATACTAGGAGCTTCGATGGGTGAATATGTCATACAAACCGGACTCGAAATACAGATGAGCTTGTGTGAAATGAAAGATGAACCTGTCATACTAGCTCCTGTTCTTCAAATGTTTGGATTCAGAGAAGACGAGTGTCCACCATCTGTTGTAAGATCTAATTAAATACTTTTTATTACGCTGGTATTTTTATAATTTTCCATATTACTCTAGGGTGTTTATGGAAATGAAAACATTGAAATACCAATGGAATTATTGCCAGATGAATTTATACCTAATAAATATCTAGGAATTGGTGAACTTTTATATGAAGAGGAGAAATTAGTAGTAATTATGTTATACATTACTGTTCATTAAAACTTAAAAGAACTACAATACAAACTACTATTATTATTGTTCATTCAGATTTTATGCTTCAAAAAATTTATCGATTTATTAAATAAAAATCTTCTGATCAGAAATTACAAAATCGTTGTTATGCTTAGAAAATTCCTTCGAAAAGTATCGTTTAATTCACTGTAATTGTGGGACGTAAAACGGTTATTAGTTTATTACTATTTTTGAAATAATAATTACAAAAAAATTCATTTACTTTATAGTAAACTAAATAAAATTTATACACCGATGAAAAAGTGAACTTGATTCAAGAAAAAAAATCTTGAAGCAATAATACCACTTTGAAAACAATTATTTTCTTGAGTCAGGAGAATGAATTTTTGGCTCAATACTAAATTCTCAGCTTAAGAATTTATTCTTTTAAAGGTTTAAATAACGCATTATACAATGGTAACTTAGCAAATTTAGTCTTTGCGATAGCTTTCTGTATCAAAAACCGTTTAAAAATTACCATCTGCTTTTTAAAATTCATGATATAGTTTTATACTCTTTAAATCTGAATCAGTGACTAATTGCTGTTTTTCAGCTATGATTATGCCCCAAGGTTTACTTATAACTATGCAATAGTGTAAATATACACTATTTTTTGGTGATTTTCATGGTTCGAATTTGTTCGAGAGATATCATCGTTGAAAATTTCAAGAAAATTGTAGTTTTCGCATACGACAATAACTTCTATAGAGAATTTAAAACAATATTATGACAATTATGTTTATCATTGCGTAACTCATAATTATACATTTCACAACCATCGAATCTTCTGACACGATGTACACGATTAAAAAATTGATCTTGTCGACGAAACGTAATGCAACGTCGATTATTCATTGTATTAAATTATTCCGTGACGAATGACGATTGCTGAGACCCGTACTGATATTATATGACACCAGTCTTTTTTTTTAGTTACACCTCCCACGGCAGTTTATTGACTACGGAAGCAAAGTTATAATTGAAATATATTACGATATACTTTTCAATAAAAGTGAAAATGAAATTTTATTATTTTGAGAAAAATATATGAATTAGATCGCACTACATCGCGTGACAAATGCAAAAAAGCGCGTATTCCTACAGGAAAATAAGACTTTGTGCCAAAAGGCGTATAAAAAAAAAAATTTTTTTGCCAATCAGCTCAAAATCGTCCAAAACGTCAAGATCAGTAAAAAAAAATGTTTACTTACTAACGCCAGAAGGGCGTATCTACAAATACGCCCTTCTGGCTTAACCCTTTTCTAGTTGACCTTGAATCCCTACTTTTAATTTGAATCGTACATCTTATTGTTGAAATGAAGGAGCTATAGTCTGTTTTGTAGAGAGGAGGCCAAATAAAATGGTAGAAGGGGGCGCTTGTCTACACAACCACAACCAAACTTTCACTCATCAGCCTTACAACGGATGATTGGCTCTATCCCCACTTGATTCACATCTAAACTCACCGATACTCCGAGCCGAGAAAGGATTAAGGAAAATAGCTATTTTTTCTATCCTCGTAGAAATAGTCAGAATAGCTTCCTAGGACCTCAAAACGTGGAGATCTGATGATAACTCGATTTTCGAAAATTGGAGTGAAATCAATAAAGTCCCGATTTCCTGAAAATCATTGATTTTCATAGCAAGAAGTATAAAAATAAGGCTATCATCTTAAAATAGGCTTTTCGTAAATAATTTATTTGAGTAGCGGTACAGAGTTAAACTTTACAAAAGAATAAAAAAATCAATAAATAAACGATTATGTTACCCTTATATCTACACAGTAAAAATTTTGCATCATTGCGTCAAAAAATTTTGTGTAAAATAGAATAGAATATCGTTTTTCTTTGTATCACATATTGCGTTTTACAAAACTGTATCTTAAATTATTTATTTACATTTGCATATACACTATTTTTGGCTTAAAATTCAACTGCTTGTACTTTCTTTTAATTTTTTACACACCTCATCCTTCATGTCACAATCACATTACAATACTATTAATACTATTTCATACTTATTACTAGTATCTATCCCTGTATATTAATGACAGCCTTTTTCTGACATTCAATATTGTAATACTACTCAATTTCCTTAAATAATCATTCCATTTCTCTAACATATATACACAGATCCCTATTTATTTCCCCTTTTAAAATTATCACTAATCTTTCTTTTGTTAATTCCCCCTCTAGTTCTCCCATCCACTTGTTTCTTGCTTGTTGCCCTTTTTCACTTATTTTTTCAATTATCTCTGAACAGCCTTATAAATGCATCAGTGTCTCCTCCTCCTTCTTGCATATTCTGCATTCCCAATTCTTTTGTCCTTTTTTTCCACTTCTCCACAGATTTCCACATCTCGTTCTTGCCCATACTTCTTTGTACTCACTTTTAATTTGATCTTTTTTCCAATAGCTAATTTTGTGTAAAATATTTGACACTTTTTTGTGTTGATTTAACAGAATAAATGTTAAATTAACACAAAAAAGTGTTAAATATTTGACACAAAAATTTTTAACACAAAGTTTTTTGACGCAATGGCGTAAAATTTTTTACTGTGTATATATTTAAAAATTTTGTGACAACGTTACAATTTTTACAATGTTAACATTGTAATCTTTAACATCCTAATATTGTCCGCTGTATTAAAAATTATAATAACTACGGTGGAAGATAAAATTCATGATATAGAATTATAAAAATTTAACCCTTTAGAGTCAGAGGATCTTGAAACGTCTTCGCGCGAGAGTAGTGGGGAGAGCGCAAATCCATAGTAAGACCCAAGAGTGGGGTTTCAAGGTCAGACTCTAAAGGGTTAAACTTTTCTTACTACGCTGGTCGAAAGTACGGGTTCCCGCTGCGATTTCAGTGCAGAAAGTCTCACATTTATGCCGTGGTCGAGTCGCGCATGCGCTCTACGACGGGGAGCCGAAAAAATGTATTCATGCACTGACAACGAGTCACAAGGCGGCAGAAAGTCCGAAAGTCGGTAGTAGCGCTCACTCTATTACTTATGTATACAAGCCTAACCTTACTTGTGATTGTTATGAATGTATCTGTTTTGTTATGTGTCAATGATTTTAAGTTGAAACTTAGTAAATTACAAAAAATGAATATTTATTTGAATGAAATGAGACTTGTTAAATATTTAAATTACAAATAAAAAAAAAAATATATTTTATTCTGATAGATTTTCTCAAATAAATAAATAAATTCATTATTGAACAAGTAATTATTTTAAAAAATACACGAACAGATTTTTTAAATATTTTTTAAATAAGAATTAATTTATAATATATTTAAAACTTTAAAATTATTGAATTAAATTAAAATCTTTTCTTAAAAGAAAGTAGTAATATGATAGATTATCTATTAATATCTTTATTGACAGGTGTATTTGATGCCTGCCCCCCTCGACCAGCACCTCGGCTTCGCCTCGGGCACATGGCGCGCAGTGCAGGAATCTCAACTTTCTGCCGTTGTAGTGTAATATACTATTTATTTTATAGTTGTTTGCGATAATACCATGTTAAAAGGTAAAAATTACGATCTCAGTGAAGCTTGCAGAAAAATTTTTAGAAATTTATTCAAAAGTTATTGCGGTTTGAAAATTCAAAAAATAGTGTTCTATGAAACTTCTACCAGACTTTTGAGCTCAAAGAGCTCAAAATCACAGAAAACGTATCTTTTTGAGCTCGGAGAGCTCAAAACAACATATAGATTGTCTTTTTGAGCTCGAAGAGCTTATCATTTAATCATTTAATTTTATCATTATTAAATGATTAGCATTACAGTATCTATACAGAATTTTTAGAGTTAATATTTTAATAATATTTTGCTAAACAAAAATAATGTCGAACGACACAAACAGAAGTACTGTTAATAAGAAAGAAGATGGAGGTTATTCCTATACAGAAGAACACTCGATTGTTTACAAGTGGGAAATAAATAAAATTGAATCATTTCTCCGGTCTGCCAAGAGTGCAAAAGGTATGATTCATTTAGATTCTCCAGTGTTTTCGGCGGGTGCAAAGATAAAAGATTCATGGCATTTAAAACTGCTAATTCAAAATGATGATGCCTCATCAGAAAATAAGTCGTGGGTGTCCATATATTTATGTTCAAAAAATGGAAATCGAAAAGTCCAAGCGAAGTATTTGACATTTATTTTAAATAAAGAGAAGGAAAAAATAGTGGGTGAATTGACCTATAATCAATCAATACATGATTTTTTTTGGACTAACTCCGTTTTTGACGGTCCACAGTCAGGGTATGGTCGTGTTAAGTTTGCAAATATAAATGAGTTGTTGCTAAAAAAAAATAACTTTTTGCCAAATGATACACTGACAGTTTGTATTGAATTAATTGTTTATGATGAATACATTGCAGTCAAAAATCCAAATAATTTATTGGAAGGTTCCAAGCGAAAGTTAAGCGACGATTTTAACGATCTTTTTGAAACTAAGAAGAAATTTGATGTCACTATTAAAGTCGGTGACAAGGAATTTTGTGCTCATAAAGTGATTTTGATTGCTCGCAGCAGCGTATTTGAGGCTATATGTTTTCACATGATATGAAAGAGAATAAGGAAAATGAAGTAACGATACCTGACATTGATCCTAAAGTTTTTAAAAAAGTGCTCGAATACATTTACACTGACAGAGTTGATGACTTAATCAGTTTTGCAGAAAAACTATTGGAAGCGGCTGACAAGTATCAGCTTCAAGGACTCAAAGACTTGTGTGAATGTTCTCTATCTTAAACTTTGACTCCCGGAAATGCTATTAAAATTTTAGTTTTGGCAGACCGTCATTATGCAAAACGATTGAAGGAAGTCACAATCGATTTTATTACTAAGAGTTTAAGAAATTGGAAAAGGCTGATGCGTCTCTTGCATGTTCTGTACTGAGAAAAGTTGCTGATAGAATTTAAAATTAGTGACGGCATGTTATGATTAATTTATCGGATAATAATTCAAAAATTTCAGTTATTAATTTTTTTGTATCTTTTTTTTCAGGTTTTTTCTTTGAAGAAGTTTTTTGAAAATATCATTTGGAGAAAATCCACGGATGAAAATTACCTACAGTGTGATTAATAATCTAGCGAATTTCTGGCATTTAGAATATGACAAAGTTTTTTTTTTTTTTTTTCAATTAATATCAAACGGATAAAAATATTCTCAATTTACTATGTATAAATATTATTAAAAAAGTTTAGCATATTCTTTCCTAAATTCTATCAAAACTTTAACATCATCATGAAATTTTTTTTTCTATCGTTCTAATTATTAAATAAGAAAATAAAGCGAATACTTTGCGAAATGACGCAAAATTCTTTACCGTGTACGTTTTTAAACCAATTTACTTTAATATTGTTTTAGATTACATTTATTGAATAACAGTACTTAATTTGGAAATGAAAAAAAAAATTTGCATAGTATATGGTTTATTATTGATATAACATCGTAAATAGTTGATTATCAGCAGGGTCAGCCTTTAGCAGATCGAGCTGTTTGAAGCACAAAAATTTTCAGACACTACCATGACTGGAATTGAAAAAAAAAAAAAATTAGAAAAACGGTTGACCCTGAAGGCCATCCCTGCAACTTCCCGCTAATTCTATACTTAGGCGCTTATATAAAATTGCACCAATGACATTTTTGAGCTCTTCGAACACAAAAATACATCGTATTTATCGTAATAAATACATCGGATTTATCGTAATACAGTATGACACCGTAAATTACGGAGATTGTACGACAAAGTACCGTGATTGTACGGTAAAATACCGTAATTGTTAGTAAAATACTATAATTATCCGGTGAAAATAGTACTCTTTTTGTACGCTAAAGTACCATAATTGTACGGTAATGTACCGTAATTGTACGGTAACTTATCGCTAACATAAGGTATATTTAACGGTAGGTTACTATTGAAATACGGTAGTGCGGAAAGTTCAGAAGTCTATATTCTACCGTATTTTCATCATACGCTGCCGTAATTGTACCGTTCTATACCGTATTTTCACCGTTGTTTACTGTTTACTGTTTACGGTTTTTTACGGTTTCTACTGTGCAAGTAGAAAGCTACTGTAATCTAGGGTGGCCATACGGTACATCGACCGCATTTTTACCGTATAATACCGTAATTCTACGGTATTTCAGATCCGCCAGGGTTAGATCGTAATATAATCATTTATTTCTATGTTAATATGTTTAGGGCGTTTATGGCAGCGAAAGTTACACCGTACCAACATCCATGTTTCCAGAAGATTTCCCTCCAAACCAATATAAAGCAGCCTACGAAATCATAAACGAGGGTCAACAAATACTGGTTATCGATATATATTTTGACATCCAATAAAGTTTAGCAAAACTTCATTATACAATTCTAAAATGATTCGTATGAACAATGATGTAACGCAGACGTAAAAAATAATCGATTTATCATCAAATTTATAACGGAAATATAGATTGTTGAATAAATGTATTTGAAATCAACTATTGTGTTTTTTATATGAAAATAATCTCATTGTATTGCTTGCCATTAGAAATTTCTCTATCATCGGATCTTTCAATATGGTACACTCTGTTGAAAAATTGATCATGACAAAAATTAAAGCAAGGTTGATTATTTATCTCATTGAACTGTTATGAGATAAATGGCTTCATAGAAATAAAAAATTCTTGACTAAAGAGTAAATATTCTTGGCTCAAGAAAATATTGAGGAAGGTGACAATTTCTTGATTGTAATAAAAATTTTATGGATAAAGTCAAATTCTCGGGCCAAGAAAATTTCTTCTTGCTCCAAAATAATTTCGATCTTCCTCAAAGTTTTCATGGCACGAGAAAATATTTTAACTTTTTGCTATAAAAATTAACAGTCGATTATTTATATTAAAAACAATCCAAAAATAAATATCGAAGTTATTTGAAGAACACTTTTTTTTTAATTTTCAATTGACTATTTGTAGTAACTAAGTTACTTTTCGATACTAGTGCGAGGTAAATTAACTAAACTATAGATTGCCAAAAATCGTATTATTTGCGCCCTTTGTGTGTTACTCGAAAATCCAACTTTCGCGATTGATATGATAAAATACTCCTTTTCGCCCTGGTAACGCCTACTTAAGTCCGTTTTCAGACTAGTTAGGTTGAATCAGGGTCTAATAAAACTCCTATAGACTCTGGTTAGATAAAAAAAAAGTTAAAACGGAGTTTTAATAAAAACCTGTTTTAACCTAACTTGCCTAAAGAAAGCAAACCTTCAAGTAAAAAAAAAAACTTATAAAAATTCATTATTTAATTGATATTCATTTCGAGTTTTCATTTGATAATTCACGACAGTAATTAGTATAGTATTATGTATGATGGATCGGAGAGCTCAAAATGACACGAAAATTTTATTTTTAAGCTCGAAGAGCTCAAAAACGTAATAAGTTTAATTTTAAATTAAGCGCTTAAGTATGGAATTAGCGGGAAGTTGCAGTGATGTCTTTTAGGCTCAACCGTTTACCTAAATTTTTTTTTTTTTTTTTTTTTTTTTTTTTTTTTTTTTTCGAGAGAGAGGTTACTTCCCGGGTCGAAAAATTTAAACTGATTTTAAGCTAAATGATCTGCATTT